AGTTTTTCCTCTCCACTGTCGCTTCATGCTTGCTCATCATGGACAGGTTAATGCAACCTGTGTTATTCAAGATGGACTTCCATCTTTCAGGTCCCTGAATGTAGCGCTAGTATCAGCTCAAGCATACCTCTGGATCTCTCCGTACAGCTTAAGCAGACCGTCTCGCTAACCAGCAGTCTATAGACTGACCAACTTCATCTATCTCCACTCCACCACCAATTTCAGACCTGGGGGGGGTCGCCCTGTTCTTTGCTCCTCTTCATACATATCAAAGCAAAAGTCTGAGCGTCAGAAACTAAAGTAATTGTATCAATAAAATTGTTCTAATTGTCTTTTCTTTCTGTGTGGGGTTTTTAGATTGAATTACATTTAGGTTCAGATTCTATTTCTATAGCACCAATTCACAACACATGTCATCTCAAGGCACTTTACAGTTACAGATGAATAGTTCATTGTCTTGAAATGTTTAAATTAGTAGCAAAGATTGTTTCTAAGGTGACGGGAGAGCTGGTGCAGAGACAGGAATGGAGAAAAACATTAAAAAGGTTGAATTTAAGGAGTACGACAAACAGTTTTTAATAAATGAGTTCAGGCTTCCTCTACCTGCTCCTCGTCTCCCACAGGATGTTATGACCGTCTGTCAGGAACCTGAACTACACAGGAATGTTTAACGTTAAAACAGACTTTCTTCCTCATATTATACCTGTCAAAGTTTTGGGACTCAGAAAGTTTCTGCTTTTATTAACTCACTTTAGAATATAATAAAAAAAAAAAACTTTGGAAACAAAGAGCTGATATTAGATCAGTGAGAGAAAAAGACAGAAGGAGTCCTTCACATGAAGCTCCATGCCTGAACAGATGAGAGAAAATGACTGAACACTTTTACAAACATCTTCAGTAAATATCCTAATGAAGAGAAGGATCCGGGACTATTGATATCAAGCTTGTTTTACAGACTGTGTAGGAAAGGGTTATATCTATTTAATTCTATTCAGTTTATTTCTATAGCGCCAATTCACATCATGTCATCTCAGGTCAATTTCCAGTTCATCAGATCATCCAGTCAGATTGATTCAAAGTTTT